CAAATTTGAAACCAGCAGCTATTAAGACTGATCTCAGTGTGAGGAGTTTTTAATGTTAATGTTTCACTACCCACTTGAGACATTGTACTGTGTCATCTGAATGTTTTTTCTCTCTCTTCAAATTAGTTAAGTTCTTGCTGTTTCCCTCTGAGGTGGGTGAATCACCTCCTCTCTGTGGTGGGAAAGGGAGCTGCACTGTCCCAACCCAGAGGCCCGTTCTGTCCAAGAATCCAGTGAACCAGACAGGAAATATGACTGCAGGTAAAGAATTTAAATTTCATAGTAACTAATGCATTTTGTCTCCAAAGCTCCAAGGATGGCAATCTTCACTGCCACTCCAATTTACTGCTCATCTCTCAAACAAAAGATGTTACTTACATATCCATCAAGCATCTGGCAATTATGGCTGTGCTTTTCTAAGTCTTTTCATGGAAAAGGTTTTAGTAGAATATTACCATAACAATTTCTCACATTAAACACCTTATATTCTTAAAATTAATTAAACCACCTTTATGGTCATCTTTTTTTTTTTTCAAAAAGAGCTTTTGCATTTTTTTTTTTGCACTCATTGTCTGTTTGCTTGATTTCGTGTTCTTCATCTCATATCCAGACTGCTCAGTTCTGGTCAGCAATGGTCAGCGTATTGTTGGAGGAACCTTAGCTACAAAGAACGAGTGGGCCTGGCAAGTCAGCATGCAGTGGAGGGGAAGACACGTCTGTGGTGGTGCCATCATCTCTCCTCGTTGGGTGATCACTGCAGCACACTGCTTTGTTGAGTAAGAGAGACACGAGGAATGACAAGAAAGAAGTGTTTACGAGTTCAGTTACTGGTACAGTCAGTTAGCAAAGGCTGTAGTCACGACCACCTGCTCAGTCCGAGGTAACACCGTGTTCCTGTTATGTTCAAGTCAAAAGCAGGTAAAGGGTGAAGTAAAAACTTTTTGCACCTTTTTGCACCTTCTGCAGCAGAGCAGAGCTCCATCTGTGATGTGATCACATCACAGATGGAGCTCTCTGTTCCCCGTGAGTGTTCATCTTGGATTATGAGCAATGGGTGCGGATTTTTTGAGCACAACTACAAACCAAAAGCAGCTCCTAATGTTTGCAAGGCTAAAGTGAAAATAGAAATACATGTAATTTGGCGATGGCTGAGGCCTAAACCGTGATTGTAATAATGCTGGAGGTTGTATGATATTATGAAAAACCATTGAAAAACAAAACTGTGAAAATTAGTGGGCACACACACCGCTTCTTAAACCGAACTCTATCTACTAACTTTTCTGTCACTCTTCTGCAGTAATAACATGCTTCAAGTAGCTGACTGGACGGTTGTGGCAGGCACTGTAAGCATTGCACACAACTCTCTGGGGCAACACTACAGGGCACTGCAGATCCTCTACCACCCTGGCTTTAAGGTTATGCACAATGACTATGACGTGGGACTGCTGCGCACCATAATTGACATGGACATGACGAGTAAGTAAGAGACGGATTGCGCTATCATTCATCAGGGCAACGAAAACCACATCATTTGTTTTTCTTTACGCTGAATGAATGCTGGAGTCTAGTAACTTGTTGAATGTATGTAAACTAGCCAAATTTATGTCACACAAGACAAACAGACAATGTTTCACTGTCTCTTTTTATAACTGTATTTACTTACATTTGAATCATGAAAAGAACTTAATGTGACTTGATGCACATTTAAATTTTATTATGATTAAGATCAGGACAGATCAAGAAGTGTAATCCCTTTTGGGCTTGAGGGGGAGATTAGGGGCACTTACATCACTGCACTAATCATTGCAATCGCTGTCATATTGCCAAAACAAATATTTAATTTTTACCAAAACTTAAAACAATAAAGAAAGAACGAACTAAACACCTAACAAAATCAAAATCGTCAGAAGTGAAACTTACTTTTAAGTCAAGAGAAAAACATGTATTACAATCATAAACGTGGGTGGGAGGAAAAAGGAAATATGTGATTTCATAACCACGAGAGAGAGCTAACCTTTATCACTTTACTGCTGCTCTTTGTAGGTGGGGTCCGACCGGTCTGTTTACCCAGTCCAACCGAGTCCTTTCCTGATGGATCAGACTGCTGGATCACAGGCTGGGGATACGTAAATGAAAACACAGGTGCACTGCACTGAAAGACAGATACTTTTGCTACAGTTTGTGATCTTAACAACTGAGCTAAAAGAACGTGATTTGATAACGCAAGTATAATTTAAGTTGGAGCTTCAAATAGCTTCAAAAACTCACAATCATAGTTTCAGAGTTGGAAACTGTAGGGCAAAAACTTTTTAAAGAGCCATATTTGTCAGTACAGTATCCTCATTGAAGCTAAGACGTTAGACTTAATTACTAGATAAAAAAAAATATATAAGTGTAATCATTCATTATCTTTTGAACTGTGTAACATTTCCACTAGTCACCTTCAAGTAACCCTTTCTACTTATTTTCATTCACTTTTTGCTGCTGATTTTTTCATTTCATTTTCTGTCAGGCTATGTGTCAGAAGAGTTAAGGCAGGCTCATGTTAAGGTAATAGCTCAATCCATCTGCTACGACTTGAGTGTCTATGGTCTCTTCATAACTCCTCGAATGATTTGCGCTGGGAGCATGGATGGAGGGGTTGACTCTTGCCAGGTACACACCCACAGAGATGAAATCTCCTCTCCACAAACCTAGCACAGGTTCATGAAGAATATAAAATATATTTTACAATCTATATACTTTTACAATATACTTTACAATCTATCAAGAGTTGTGTTTCTCCCATTTGATGTTCACAAATTTTGTTTGTGAAATGATTTTCTCTTAAGGGAGACAGTGGTGGACCACTTGTGTGTAAGACATCTAAAGGGGATTGGAAGCTGGCAGGCGTGGTGAGTTGGGGAGAGGGATGCGCACGGCCTAATAAACCAGGCGTCTACAGCAGAGTAACTGAATTGCTTCAGTGGATTGAACGTTACATAGACATACAGGTATGGGAAGCACTTTTCCTCACCGCTTGTAAATGTAAAACCTATCTTTATCTGTCGCTCTGTTTCAGAGTCAAAGTTCTGTTAGTTTATTTACTGCATCTGTGTCACAGTCTATCTAAAAATGCTTTTCTATTTTCATTTTGAACTACAACCCTTGACAGATAAGCAGTTTGGCTATATAGCAGATAATAAAACTTCAGCAGTAAAGAAGAAAAAAACTTAACGGTTAAATGTTAAATCCTGTTGAAGGTTATAGAACCAACATTTCAATACATATTAGTTCTTTAAAGGATGGAGGCAAACTAGATGCATTAGTAAAAGAATACATCAGTAAAATGCAGGAAATGTGATTACTTTTAATACCCTGCAGGACTTTTCATAGCCAAAATGCACTATAACACATTAATGTCATTTGCGAAATATACAATAAAGTTTTTAAATTGTCCTTGTTTTAATATTTTTTGTTGCAGTATAAAGCAGAGGATTCGGCCGAGACCACCACAGCTGTTTCTGCAACACCTTAAAATCTGACAATGAGATAACTGACAATAAAGATCGACTTGCATCTATCTGCCTATCAGTGTTGTTCATTCTACGATAGCGTGCACTGTCACTGTTGTCAGTTATAGAAATATAGAAACACTATTATCTGTAGTAGAAATTTTATCTGTAGTAGAGATTTACTGCCAGTAATGATACATTTGTAAACGTTTATCAGGACTGACATGAAAGTATAGCTGACAAAACAACAAATAAATCAAAGTGAAAATGGGATTGTATTCCTGTCTGATCGCGGCTGCTGACCACAAATTTTAACAGTTATTACAGCGCATGGCGCCTCTTTAGTGTCTAAGTGCGCCAATTTAAGTGCTGGTGTATAGATTACTGTGACTTGACAGGTTCAAGGTACACTAGATGAAAATGACCTGATAACCTATGTTAGCTAAATTTGAAGTACTGATAAACTGTGGAACCAAGCAGTTTCTGATATTTTTCCTTTGATTGTATAAAATAAATATTAGTACTAAATACTAGTATGACTAGTAAGACTAGATGAACAAGATATTATAAATAAAACCAATTATTCATTATTTCAAAACAAATGAATATTAATTAAGTTTTGAAAACCTATATTATGTTTTCAATGGGTTTCTCACACTCTTTAAGTGTGTTCAGTGGCCTTATAACAGGAGTCGCAAACTCATTAGAGTCTATGGGCCATATGTAGCCAACTACTTGCCAAAATTAATCCAAAAGTACATCAGCAGCTCGTTCGGGAGTTCAGGAGCTTGCCTCAGTTAAGGTCAATGATTGATCGTTCATCAAGTGGGAAAAAGAGTTCCGAGGCAAAAACCACAGCTGACCAAAAACCCTCCCAAAAAACATCTTGAATATCTTCAAGACTTTTGTGAAAATGTTCTGTCAACCGTTGAGACAAATTTGGAGTTTTTGGAAGGTTCAAATCCCATTACATCTGACAGAAACCTCAACAACATTTCATAAAAACAACATCATAGCAACAGTCATACGTGGTGGTGGTGGTAGCTTGATGATATGGGACTGTTTTACTACTTTAGCACCTGGAGAACTTCCAGTATTCATGAACAATGAATTCTGCTCTCTCCCAAAAGATTCTAAAGGAATCATTTCGTGCCCTGAAGATCAAAGACATTTGAGTTATGATCGGGCAATAATCGGAAACAGCAAGTCTGATTGGCCTAGTCACTGTCTGGACTTTGATGCTTTGATATGACTTTCCAGCCCTTCATGCTTAAGCACTTTCTGCAGCAATTCTTTAAAGAGAGGGCCAAAACTCCTCTATGGTGATATAAAAGAGTCATTTCCAGTTATCATAAACGCTTGATTGCATTTCTTGCTGCCAATGAAATCATCAGTTAAACATGCATTTTGTATTTATGGTCTTAGTATCAAAATGTGTTTGAGGATCTGAAACATGCAAGTTAGACTTAAAAAAAACGACAAAGGGAGCAAATACTGTTTTCATGTAGCTCATCACAAAGCTTTTATTTGGTTGTTTGTTTTCCATCCGTATTACTCCACTAAAGCGGATGACTGAGCGTTTTATACAAGGTTGTGTTTGGACGATGTTTACTTGCCTGACAGCGTAAATGTCACGTAGGCCGCTGCTACGTTGTTGTGTACATTGCCAGGCCCCTCATTCCAGGGCGCATGCGTCTCACTGAGGACGGCGAAGACGGTACTCAGCTGTGCAGGAAGTTAGCCGGCAGCTTCACTTACCCATAAACCCATATTTACCGCTTAATAAGAAACAAGTTGGCACGGCTCCAGCCCGTAAAAGCAGCTGGTGACAGTGGAGCTTCCAAACGACACTGAAGTCCTTGTGTTGTTTTTTCCAAGGACTGATTGACAGTCAGTGTGATAAGCGGCAGGTAACACAGAGTTCATAGTGCTACTACCCCACGGTCTCTCTTTGCGGAACCTACGCGTACGTGCGGTAGTGTTGCCCGCTATCAAGAGGTTCAAATCAGGACACATCGGCGACTATGTGTTCGGTAATAAGCAGAGTGAAGCCCGTTCAGCGGGCCCTGGCTTCGACGCTACGGCTCAGGACAAACGCTGACGGCTTGAATTACGCGGCAGCCCAGAGCAGGCGCTTCTGCCCCGGCTTTATCACTGGAGCTCAGCCGCTATGGGTAACCAGCAGATCCTACTGCGCCAGGATAGCAACGACGGATGGACTCCTCTTCAGACAGGTAGGTTATAGATGATTATACCTTGCCATTTTGCGCCCGTTTGGATCCTCCTGCCTTCAGGAAGAAAACGACATTTTCTTTAGGATTTTTTGCAACCGTCTTTACGGCGTTAAGTAGGAAGTGAGTTAGCATTTAGCTCATTGTTATATTTCTGATAAGGAGCATTTAATTTTAGTTCTTTTAATGCGCAACCAAGTTAGGTTGTTGGATGAATTATGTGGATCATTTTCGAGTCAAACAACCCTTTAAGTTGATCTATGCGCAGTTTTGTTTCGGATACTAAAACTTGACAGCTAATCTTTCAGGGGCATTTGTATGACCCCTGAATGCTTCCTGACACAGTTGATAAGGATGTTTTTATATGATAACAAGTTGCCTTATATTATAATCTGTTCTTTCTTTCAGTTTTTTGGTCTCTTACAAACATTGTCTATGAATGAGTGTGTAACCCTTGTTACCCTTGCGCTATTGTTTTTATTTATTACTGAGTCACACCTGTGTACTCACCTTTTTTTCCCTCCTCCCCCCTTTAGTTGTTTGAAGTGGAGAGCAGCACGTACACCTACCTGCTGGCAGACGCAGACACCAAGGAGGCTGTCATCATTGATCCTGTGCTGGAGACCATTGACAGGGACCTGAAATTCGTAAGCGAACTTGGACTCAAACTGACAGTGGCAGGTATCTACCTTCCCAAAGTTGAGTTAAAACATAACAACCTAAGAAAATGTGCTCCATCTTCCTAACCCTGACACTAAGATGCATTTTCAGATCAGCCCTACTTAAAGCTTGAATGAACTTTATGAAAACATACTTCATTATTACCCTTGGGGCCAAAATAAATATAGTACTGGACTTGTTTCCCTCTTTAAACGTCTGTTTTCTGGGGGAAATTGAAATTGAGTCTCTGTCCCTGAGCCAATATACGTTAATGTGTATTTATATTCATACATATATACATGCACGTATGTATGTATATATTATATTATATTATATTATATTATATTATATTATATTATATTATATTATATTATAATAATACCTAAGAGTAAATATTATGAAATGATTTTGCAGTGATCTGTGTTCCACTGACTCTTCTTATATGCAGATTAAAATATACAGTAATCTTGACTCGCATTCAAACTTTCTTTTTATTTTTTTAAGTTAACACCCACTGCCATGCAGACCACATAACAAGTACTGGCCTAATGAAGAAAAGACTTGCTGGTCTGAAGAGTGCCATCTCCAAATTCAGTGGTGCATCTGCTGATATCCACCTAAAAGAGGGAGACAAGATCCCCTTTGGAAGACACGTATGGCGAAAAAAAAGTTCTTTTTTTATGATGGAGTGTTTGTAAGTGTTGCATACCTGTTTGGTTATGTTTGCTTTATAAAACTAATTTAACATGACACTTGTCTTTTCTCTTCTTTAGTCTTTGACTGTGAGAGAGACACCAGGACACACTGATGGGTGTATAACGCTGGTAACTGGGGATCAGACTATGGCTTTCACTGGTGACGCTCTTCTCATTAGAGGCTGTGGCAGGACAGACTTCCAGCAGGGTACGCATGCTCTTTTGGCTTTATGCTTGTTTTTGTTCATTTTCATTTGTAGTGTTTCTGTATGAACACAAGGGGGCAGTATTACAGCCATTGCCTTTAGCAGTTTTCTAAGTTTTCTCTCATTTCTTAAGGTTGTGCCAAAAGGCTCTACCAGTCAATCCAGGAGAAAATCTACACCCTGCCTGACCACTGCCTCATCTACCCAGCACATGACTACTTAGGTTGGCTGAAACACATGCAGACACACATTTATGTATTTTATAGAGTCATTAGTGTGAATGTTTTTATGTAATACAGATTTTCAGCTTGTGCTTAAAAGCACTGAAAATGTAAAGCTATTAATTTCCCACTAATGGGAGCTGGAACAGATGTTGTATACATGTTGTTTTTATAGTGCATCTTTTGTGTGTCAGAAGCATGTTTCTGTATAAATGTTTTCATTGACCAGATTTAACATGTGACAAAAATCAGGACCACGAAGACTAAAGATGTCACACTGGTCTGCATCTGTTTTTGTGTTTCAGGTCAGACGGTTTCTACAGTGGGCGAGGAGCGCAAGTTTAACCCACGCTTGACTAAGAGCATGGAGGAGTTTGTGAAGATCATGAACAACCTGAACCTCCCTAAGCCTAATAAAATAGGTATTTAACAATAGTATCTACAGCCTTTCACTATCCATGTCATCTCCACATTTCTAGTTCTCGTGCCTATGAGACGTCACCACAGGTTTTACGTGCTGGGCGTCACATTTACTATAAACATTTTTTCCTTGTTCTGTTGCAGATATTTCAGTGCCTGCCAATCTGGTTTGTGGACTGCACCATGTTTGAATGTTCTGCACGAAAGACGATACTAATGACATCATTGCCCAGTGATAGACATTCTGTGTCTGTTTAGCAGAATTAATCAAACTACTTGCCATAAAGTGCTTTATTGTGGTTCTGTGTCTAAATCTAAATGGTATATTTTAATTGCTGTTATCATTTATAGTGCAGCTACTGATCAATTGTACTTGGAATAAATCTGCTTCTATTTTGGATATTCAAAATAATTAATATCTGTATTTGAGGAGAGAACAGTAATGGTACCCTTTGTTAACTGTGTAAAGTTAAAAGTAAGTTGACCTTATTCAGATTTGTTATTATGTGTAAATTTGGGGAGGAAGAGGAAAGCTTGGATAGGATTGTTACACTGAAGGTTCAGTTTAGTATTTGTGAATGCTTAAAAGGTACAATTGTGTCGTGTAGTCAAGGCCTCACACACTCACAGTACCACAAGCAGTGGCCTCTTTTAATAGCAGGAAAATAAAGCTTATGCTGTTTGCATTTAAAATCAATAACAGCTAAGATGTTACTGCACAACATGTCATAGCATTATGAGCTCACATGTTCCTTTTATATGTTGAAAATGATGATTATTATTTACTCTCTAGCTCTAAAAGAAGGAATCAGACTGCAGTGACCCATGCATGCTGTTGTTGTATTTAACAGATCCTCAGCCAGTAAGACGGGTTTGTTTTAGAGTGCTTCCCTTTGACTCAGCCACACAAATTTGCAGCTGTGTGACAATTTGAGCCTGAGGTTTTTGGAGGCCAGAATCAAAATGTTCATAAGCAAGTGATTTCATGTGAATATAACTTTTTACTATTGCCTTTTATTAAGAGAGCACCACATCAGTTGCATGTATCAATTCTGGTTCTCTCCTCATGGGGGAACACTACCTGCCAGGTTAACTCAGACTTTTTATGTCTTTTGCTGCTATGGATGAAGCCCTGTGGTGATGATGGTTTGAGCCTGAAAACCCGAGTGAATATGGATGTCTCATGTTCACCAAAGACTGTCATTAAATAAATTCCAAGTTGAATGAACATGGTGTAGAGCTGTATTTCAATCCTCAAACAGCCTGCTCAGTAAACGCCTCTCTCTACTGTACATTCAAAGTGTCTTGAATGCAACATTGCACGTGCTTTTGAGTACCGGTAGCATATTGTAAAATCTAGGATTCAGTATTGTGTCTGTGTAATCTAAAATAAAAGTCACATTATCTCTGCTTGACCCAGAGCATGCTATTTGTGGTCAAGTTCACAATCAGTGAATAGCTAAAAAAAACAAGATGTACTGATACGAGCATTATTAAATGGATGGTTGTGGTTGTTCCCAATAAAACGGCGAGCCGCAGTGGTCTGTGACCTTGAGTGACTTTGCATTAAAATTAGTTTAATTAGAGAGCTATTATAAGGAGAAGTGTGACTGAAAAATGTATATGGGGAAAAAGCTGTAACAGCAAAGATACTTCTCTAAGTCTAACTTTTATAAAAGTAAAACACTTAAAAGTGTTTAAATTCTTCTTCATCTTATTATCAGTAATATTATTAACAATAATTTTATTGATGATGATCATAAAGATAGTGTGCAGTACGTGATGTTCTTCCTTTTTATCATGATGACTTCTGAAAATTATTCTAATTTGGGGGCGTTACCAAGGCAGGTAGGCAGGTATGTAGGTAGGCAGGTAGGTGTGGTTAGGGTTTTAAATAGTCATGCTTTACACAGCAACCCAGAGTTTGTGTTTCTGTCCCAATTAAAACGCTGCCGGTTACCAGCTGCTCATACTGTGCAAGGATGGCAATGGTAAAGGGACTCCTCTTCAGACAGGTATGTTCACATCATATTTGGATGTTCTGCACTTGTTTAAAACGATCTGTCCTGAAAAAAGAAATATTGTTCAAAATTGTTGAGTTTAGATTAACCAGTTTACATAATGGTGGAAGATGTGTTTATATATTCTACTAAAGTGGAAGTAGGAGTGCAGAAAACAAAATATAAAAAGTTTGTTTGTCTAAAAAGCAATAGCATCACTATAAAGTACCTTAAGTGAAAGAAAACCTGCTCAAATTACCCACTTCAGAGATGCATATCATATTGTTAATATGTTTGATATTTTAAGTTGATGAAAGAACAAATCTGAATTACTTGATGCTCTGCATCTTAATCTAAAATAGAAATTATTTGTTGATTAATAATTTATATCCCTGCCATATAACTAATGCTAATAGCTTCTGAATAAATGTGGTGGAGTACAAAGTGCAATACTGTATTTCAAGCTTCGTATGAAAATGTCTCTCTTTGGCTACCGTAGACACACAAAGCACACGTTATCTATAAACACAAGTGAGGAGAAATGATAATAATGTAACCTTTACTACCGCTCCCATTTACTGTTAGTTATTGCTGTTTGCTGCTTTGTGCTTCCCCTCCAACATTTAGCTGTTTGAGTCTGAGAGCTCCACATATACCTACCTGCTGGCAGACGCAGACACCAAGGAGGCTGTCATCATTGATCCTGTGCTGGAGACCATTGACAGGGACCTGAAATTCGTAAGCGAACTTGGACTCAAACTGACAGTGGCAGGTAACTACATAAATTAACACAGAATCCCATCTTTCTCAGCCTGTAAATACAAATTAGGAGCAGCATAAATATTTTACCTGGTTCAGAAATGATTGTTTATTTCTGACCCAAAAACGTTGTTAAGTGTGGGTAATGCTATTTGTATGAAAGGACTCCTGCTAGTGTAATACATATATCTTTCCGAATTGGAAATACACTTACTAGCCACTTCATTGGATACACCTATTTAATACACATATTTAAAAACAGTGCATTTACGCATGTAGACATCATTAAGATATCCTCCTGAAGTTCAGTCCAAGCATCAGAAAAGAGGAAAGGTGATTCAAAGAAACTTGACGCATATGGGCTTCGGCAGCAGACGAGCACACTGTGTGCCAGTCCTGTCAGCTAAGAACATAAACCAAGACTATAATTTGCACCAAAATTGGACAATGGAAAACTGGAACAAACCTTGCTGTGGCATTTGAGTGTTTAGTTCAGGATTCGGCATAAACGACATGAATCAAACGACCTATTATTATTATTATTATGAAAAGACCTGTTATTAAAAGTTCAGGCTGCTGGTGATGGTGGTATAGTAGTGTGGGTGATATTTTCTTGACACACTTTCGGCCCGTTACTACCAACTAAGCATCGTTTATACCCCACAGCCTACCTGAGTTACTGATGTCGATCTTTTTGTGATCACAGTGTACCTATTTTCTGATGGCTGCTTCAATCACCATAATAACGCAAGTCACAAAGTCTGGTTTCTGTACTCAAATGGCCTCCAGAGTCACGCAGCCTTAATTCAATAGACTGTGGTGAAAGGGAGATTAGCGTCATGGATGTGTAGCTGACAAATCTGCAGTAACAGTGGGATGTTGTCATGCCCACATGCTACATGGACCAAAATCTCTAACACTTAGTTGAATCTGTGTGACGAGGAATCAAAGGTGTTCTGAAAAGGAAAAAAGTGTCCAACCCCCTACTCGCTAAACTGATTGGAGGGTGTACCACAAGTCTCAATTATATTCCAGCTTTATATTGACCTACATTATCTTTATTTTGCTGATAGTTAACACCCACTGCCATGCAGACCACATAACAAGCACAGGACCAATGAAGAAAAGAGTACCTGGACTGAAGAGTGCCATTTCCAAACTTAGTGGTGCATCTGCTGATATCCACTTAACAGAGGGAGACAAGATCCCCTTTGGAAGACACGTAAGAAGAAAAAAACATTATTTGTTCGCAATATCGTGTGCGTACAGTTATTTTGTAAATACCTAAAACCTTTTGTTGCATTTGCTTGATAAAACCTATTTAATTATCATGCCTTGACATTCTTCTTTTCCTTCCTTTAGTGCCTGATTGTGAGAGAGACACCAGGACACACTGATGGGTGTATAACGCTGGTAACTGGGGATCAGACTATGGCTTTCACTGGTGATGCTCTCCTCATTAGAGGCTGTGGCAGGACAGACTTCCAGCAGGGTACACATACTCTTTTGGCTTTATGCTTGTGTTTTTGTTCATTTTGCGTTTCTATGATTTTTATTCTTGTTGGAAAAGGGGGGAGTACAGTATCAGTTTTCCTTTGCAGTTGTCTAATCTTTGCCTTATTTTCTTAAGGTTGTGCCAAAAGGCTTTACAAGTCAGTCCATGAGAAGATCTTCACCCTGCCTGATGAGTGCCTCCTCTACCCAGCACATGACTACTTAGGTTGGCTGAAAACACATCCCCAAATATTTATACATGTTACAAAGTCACTGAAGGGAATGGTTTATATAGTACTATTGTGTAGCAGTATGCATTACATCATATATAAAAGCATAGCAAAATTAAATTCATTAGTTTTCTGCTGACAGGAGTCGGTACAGGTGCTCTGCAATCTGTATAGTATGTTCTGTTTTTAGGTTTTTACAGGGCAGTTGTTGTGCGCCGGCTCCATTTTTTCTAGCTCTGAAATGGACTGGAAACATGTCCAGGGTGTAGCATCTGGCTGATACACTGGTCTCCATCTGTTTTGTGTTTCAGGTCGGATGGCTTCGTCAGTCGGCGAGGAGCGCAAGTTTAATCCACGCCTAACAAAGACCATGGAGGAGTTTGCAGATATCATGAACAACCTGAACCTGCCCAATCCCAAAAAAATGGGTGAGAAAAAAATAAACTATCATATTTACAGTTCTGCAACCAACTATGTTTTCCAGTAAAAAGCACTTTTTTTATTTTTTTATTTTTTTGCAGCAACTGCAGTGCCTGCTAATCTGGTTTGTGGACTGCAAGACTAAATGTGTAGACTGAATGTGCTCCACAAGAGGATAATAATGAAAACACATAATTGTAATAATTGTAGAGTAATTAACATTTGCATCTCTATTTTGTGGGACATTAGTCAAAATGTTTACTATAAAGTGATTTTTAATGATTCTGTATGGTATATATAAGGTATATACTTGAATTGCTATTTCAATACATTTTAAATGTATCTATGTAAGAAAAAGTTTCTTGAATGTAAGCAAATTTTTCAGATGAATTGTTATGAATTACTTATGAGCAGGAAAGTTCATATACGAACATTCTCCTCAAGGTTAGGTTAGTAATCATGAAAGCTTCTGTGCAGGAAAAGGCTTTTTTGCATAGCAGGACATAAAAGCTTACTATAAAAACTTTGTAACTTGGTTTAGATTCTGTTAAATAAATAATGACACTGAATCATAGTCGTGTTGTGTTGATCATCTGAGGTTATATTTCATCTACTTTCATGAACTGTTAGAGATCAGAGAATTATAATGTGATATGTAAAAGCTTAGAATTGAAAGGTGGTGTACTTTTTCATGTATTTCAGTTGGATTCCAATCATTAAGTAATTTAGGAAAAAAAACTATATTAATGTTATTTTTTAGTTACTATCATTTTGTTTTTCATAGCAACCGTTCCCCACAGATATGTGGTGATGCCACACTTTCTCAGTTTAATGCTCATGATGGCTCATCCAATGGGTGTGTGTGAAGGAGTTTTAAAACAAAGTTGTTATTGTGTAAATGGCACCACATTTTATAGACCTTTAAAATAAAATCACATAAATATTAAAATCAGCCTTCAACAAATGTTTTAGAGTCTCTTTCATGCAAACTTGCTGATATGCACACATATCTACAATACTAAAAGAAAACGACTCTCTTGGACTTTCTGGATTTAATGAACTATTCCGTGGCTACCTTACTGGTTCCTGTTATGACTACTATTGTGTCTATACTATTAACAGGGTCTGTTAAAGTCTTTTAAAATAAAATCCATTTAATTATTATTATTAATATTATTTCAGGGCAGCACGGTGGCACGGTGGTTAGCACTGTTGCCGCACAGCAAGAGGTCCTGAGTTCAATTCAGTTTGCATGTTCTCCCCGTGTTTGCGTGGGTTCTCTCCGGGTACTCCGGCTTCCCCCCGCCGTCCCGCCCCTCTCCTTCCTGTGCAGCTGGCAGCAGCCGCACCTCGTAAATGGAGGGCACCTCGTCGCAAATGGGCAATGCAAGACCGATCGGTGCCCATGCAATCCCCAAAATGCGCTGACATAATGCCGGGGCAGCATGGGTGCGGGCAACTTTTTTTTTGCCGATGCTATGATGCTGCCCCCACCACGCTTCCGCCCTGGGCAATGGCCCATGTCGCCCATATCGAAACCAGCCAATGTTAGGGAAGTAGGTAAGTAGGTAGGTGGGTGTGGTCACTGATCCACGATTGTTGTTGGGTGTGGCTTGTTGACATTCCTGGGACGACTCAGGACAAATGCAGGGGACTCGAATTAGGAAACAAAACAGATGCGTCTGTCCCGGTTGAAGCACTGTTTTTCAGACGCTACGGGTTACCAGCAGATCGCACTGAGCCAGGATGGCAAAGACGGAAGGGCTCCTCTTCAGACAGGTAGTCTGTCGGCATATTTTGATGGCTTGCTCCTGTTTGTTTACAACCATACGTGGTAACGAAGAGGCAAGAGTACTTGTAGTTTTTTTGTACCACCGGTTGTGGGAAGTGAGCTCGGTAGCTTTAGCCGTTAGCATCTTGTTTTCTGTCTATGAAGTTCCTTTCTGCATTAGTTCCTTTAAAGTTCAGGTGGGTTTTTGTGCTCAGCTGTCTATCCAAACAAATTTTGGATTTTCAGACTCTTGTGTGGTGTCCTACATCCTGATAAAAGTGGTATTACAAGGAAATGACGGCTGAGCAAAAGTCCCAAAAGTTTTGAAGTTTCTTTTTCATAATTGCTAAACGAAATGCGTTAGATGTACTTAAATAAAAGTAGCGCAGCTACAGTGTAAAGTATACATGAGTTAAATAAATCACTTAATGACCCCTTTAAAAACCACATTTACTATTGCTTTATGTTACTGTTTCTGGTCCTGCTTTGAAGCAGTGTGATCTGAATGACTTTATAAACCGCTTTTAATCTGTAGTAAGTGACAAAAATTAGTAGCAGGTTTATGATTCATATAGCTACACTATTACTACTACCTATATCTGCAAAACAGCAAAGTATGTGTCTTCAAAAAAGTAGCTTTGCATGGGAATGCTTAATGAAGTATACCTCATGTGCATGCATCATGTGATGAAAATTGCTGTGTTACATGACCCTACATTTTTTTTCATTCTAATATTTGAAACCAGCTGATAAATTGATCACATGCCATCTTTAAAAAAAGGCATTTCAAGAAAGAAAACTCCTGCTTGTTTAACAGTTGTTCAAGTTGTTGTGTGATATGCCCAGACACATCACAATGAGGAAGTATATCAGTAAGTGATTCTGTCGCCAACTGCAATTTCCTTTTGAGGTGGTCATAAACGCAGAATTAATGGGTAACTTGGTAAATGTTTAAGAAGTAAACATTTTGCATTGATTACTGAGATACTCACCAGACCCTATACGGAGGCCTGCTTGTTGAACAAACACAAATATCTAATTGGCTAATCACATGGCAGCAGCTCAGTGCATTTAGGTATGTAGATCGTCAAGATGACCTGCTTAAGTTAAAACCGAGCATTAAAATGTGGAAGAAAGGTGATTTAAGTGTCTTTAAATGTGGCAGACAAGCTTATGTGAAAGTTACAGAAACGGCTGATTTAAATGGATTGCCCTACAAAACCATCGATTAAAAGAATTTGTTAAACACCACAGCCTGCCTGAGTTATGTTGCTGATCATTATCCATCCATCTTTGACGACAGCATACCCATACTTGGATGGTTGCCTTCAGCAGGATAACGCTGCATGTCACAAAGTTCATATCATCTTAAACTGGTTTCTTGAACATGAAAATCAGCTTACTGTACTCAGGTAAACTCCATAGTCACCAGATGTCAATGCAGTAGAGCACCTTTGGGATAGGAGATTCGAATCTCAGATGTGCAGCCAACAAATCTGCAGTAATTATGTGATGATATCATGTCAGTGTGGTGCAATATATCTCTAACACCTTACTGAGTCTATGCCAGAAAGGATTCAGGCAGTTTTTAAGCCAAAAGGGGGTGTTACTAGCAAGATATACCTAATAAAGTGACTGTTGACTGTAGTTCATACCGTGATCTGTTCTGTCTCTTATTATCTTTTGTTGTGTCAGACACACCCTGTCTAAGTATGGTGAGGACACGATGTTTACTGTGCCTTTCCTGTTATTATTTATTGCTGAATCACACCTGTGCTTTGTTCACTGTTCTGTTCTCTTTTTCATTTAGCTGTTTGAGTCAGAGAGCAGCACGTACACCTACCTGCTTGCAGACACGAACACCAAGGAGGCTGTCATCATTGATCCTGTGCTGGAGACCATTGACCGGGACCTGAAGCTCATAAAGGAACTTGGACTCAGTCTAACAGTGGCAGGTATCTACCTTCCCAGGGTAGAGTTAAACGATAAATTATGACAGTTGTATGAAATGTTTGTCCTATCTTCTCCATGTTGTAAATAGATTTACATTAGGGGCAACATAAATGTAATATTAGACTAATCTGTATGGCAGTGAGCAAGAAATAACTGTGTGTCCGTTCCTTGCCCCGTGACCGTTGTTTAGTGTAGACAATAGCAGACAAGGCTGCGGGGATATGTCTAAAAATAATAATTAAAAAAGGCCGAATTTAAAGCATACACTGACTGGACAGTTTATTAGATACACATTGCTAGTACTATGTCTGAATCCTTTTAGCTTTCAGAACTGCCTTAATTCTTCATGGGATAGATTCAACAAGGTGCTGAAAACATACCTCAGAGATGTTAATCTGTATTTACATGATAAGATCACGCAGTTGCTGCAGATTTGTCAGCGGTACATCCATGATCTCCACCACATCTTCCACATAACTTGCTTGTAATGAGTGGTGGACAAGCCCATGTGACACGATCAACCGTATTGCATTCAAAGTCACCTAAATCACCTTTGGTCGTCACTTTGATGCTCAGTCTGAATTCCAGTAAGTTGGCTTGAATATGCCTAGATATCGAAACACATTAATTTTCTGCCATGTGATTGGCTGCTTGGGTATTAGCGATAACAAGCGATGAAACCAGTGTGCTTAATAAACTGGACATTGACTGTCTCGCCTATATACACATTGCATAAGTTTATACCAAGAATCAATATTAAATCTTTCAATTGGTGATAAATGCAGTGATTTTTCTGGTAGTTAACACCCACTGCCACGCAGACCACATAACAAGCACTGGCCTGATGAAGCAAAGAGTGGCTGGACTGAAGAGTGCCATCTCCAAGTTCAGTGGTGCCACTGCTGACATCCACTTAACAGAGGGAGACAATATCCCCTTTGGAAGACACGTAAGAAGAAAACCACTCTTTGTTTATAATAGTGTTTGTAGGTGTTGTATACAGTTGCTTGATAAAACTGATTTGACATGCTTTGATTTGATACCTGTTTGGTTTTGTTTGCTTGATAAAACTGATTTAACATGACACTTGTCTTTTCTCTTCTTTAGTCTCTGACTGTGAAAGAGACACCAGGACACACTGATGGGTGTATAACCCTGGTAACTGGGGATCAGAGCATGGCTTTCACTGGTGACGCTCTCCTCATTAGAGGCTGTGGAAGGACAGACTTCCAGCAGGGTATGCATGCACTCTTTTGTGGTTCTTCTAAATGAACACAAGGGGGCAGTGTTTCATATGTTTTCCATTGCAATTGTCTGATTTATAGCTATTCTTCTAAAGGTTGTGCCAAAAAGCTCTACCATTCAGTCCATGAGAAGATCTTCACCCTGCCTGATGAGTGCCTCATCTACCCAGCACATGATTACTTAGGTTGGCTAAAAACACACATTCACACGCAAATGTTTGTAAATGTGTATTGCGTATCTTAAGAGTCACTGATGTGAATAATTTCGAACAGCACAGATTTGAAGCTCAGCCACATCGGCCATTAGTTTCCCACTCATAGGAACTGGTACAGATGTAGTATATATATTGTTTTTACAGTGCATGTGTTGTGTGTCAGAAGCATGTTGTTTCTTTGTAAATATTTTAATTGTTCAGATTTAACATCTGGCAGAATTTAGAACTACAAAAACTAAAACTGTCATGCTGGTCTGCATCTAATTTTGCATTTTAGGTCAGACGGTTTCTACAGTGGGCGAGGAGCGCAAGTATAACCCACGCTTGACTAAGAGCATGGAGGAGTTTGTGGAGATCATGAACAACCTGAACCTCCCTAAGCCTAAAAAAATAGGTATGAAAGACAGTGGCATCAGGATTTCAGCCAACAACCACCTCTGTCTGCTAGTAAACACAATTCTTAAGTCATGTCCTAAAGAAGATGGTTTTGCACTGGTTTGGCTACATCAAATGTCACATTTACTAAAAACATATTTTCCATCTACTTTTGCAGATATTTCAGTGCCTGCTAATCTAGTTTGTGGAGTGCACAGCATTTGAATGGATGAAAAAAGCTTCTACTAAAGTCCTGAGCACCACCACAAAATTACTGATATTTACATTTTAATCAAAATTGCTTATCTCAGAGTGCTCTATTGTGGTTCCCTGTGTAAATGTAAAAGTTAATTTTTGAACTGTTGTGATCATTTTTTGTTAAGCTACTTACAGTATATTTAAAAATTTATATTTATATTTATTTTAGCTGTTTATGAATGCATTTTAAAAACGGTAATAGTATACTTTGTTAATGGTGTAAAGTTGTTTACATTTTTATGTAAGTAGTTCATTCAGCTGTGTTATTGTGAATTGGGAAGGAAATTTATGAGCAGGAAAACTGGGGTAGGAATGTTCCATTCAAGGTTTGATTTAGTATTCATGAATGCTTAACTGGGACAAATGAGTTCTTCCACATGGCCTTTTCAGTGGTTCCGGTCTCCCCTAGCCAAGGATACGCAGGCATGCACACACACTCTTTCAGTCTTGTGTAGGCAATGGCTTTTTTGCATAGCAGGGAACTAAAACTACACTATTTGCATTCACAATCAATAAAGGCAAGTTTTCCTTGCACAATGTGCCATTGCAATCTGTTTGTGATCTCATAAGTTCCTTTAGATGTCCAACAGGAATTTGATTTTTTTTTTATGTTTCTTATGATCAAAGGAAGGTACAAAAAAGTGAGCTCATGCCAGGATTCAGAACTGCTTCCAGATTTTCCAATGACTGTGCAAGCTGTTCTCATAGTTAACAGATCATCAGCCCGCAAGACAGGTTTGTTTGGGCGTGCTGCCCTCTGACTCAGTCACAGAAACTTCTACATGTGGGAGTTAGCTGTGTGATCATCTGAGGATTGATCCTGAGCCTCTGGGGGCCTGAGTCAAAATGTTTGTTTTCAAGTGCCCGCACTTGTTTGAGGAACTTCCACAATTAACAGATTATTTGTAAAGATGAATCATTATTGTTGATACATCTGGCATTTCTAAGTGGTTTGGCACTTTTAATCTCCAGTAGTCTGAAAAACATACGAATGCTCCATACTCAAAGACCGTCATTAAACAAAACAGAGTTCAAGATAAATGAAAATTGTGTTCTACTGTATTTGTATTCTCAAATAGCCTGCTAAAAAAAGACACAACCATCCTGGTAAAATGAACAATTGGAATCTACCATGTTTCCCAAGTCTCTTGTATACAACATTATACATGCTTTGAGTAGCATTATGGAAAATTTAGTCACATCTGCAGGGAATAATAGTCAAAATGTATGTCTGACCATTTTTAAATACCTCTACATTATGTAAGTGCAATTAAATCACATGAATAGCCCTTAAACTTTTCTTAATAATACAACAATAATATCCCAAAGAGCACTATTTCTAGTCCAGCATGATTCTGCAGAGCCGTCTGTTTACAAAGAGATAACCTAAACAAGATGCACTGATATAGAATTATGAAGCATGTGTGATGTTTAAGGTTGTGCCATCAATCCAGATTAAATGCTATAGTAGCCTGTTACTAACACAGTAAAAACTATCTGATGAGTTGAACCAGAGACATATAGAGGTATAAGAAGAGGAGACATGGCACTCAAGTTAAATCTAAAAGAAGTTAAACTGCCACTTTTGTATAGTTTTCATGGTGATTAATGACATTAAGATGAATTTAAACCAGTGCTTCAAAATAAGCATCCAGGTAAGTTACTAAAAGTTCTTTGGTTTTACACAATGAATTGCACAGGTCTAAAACATGAGGACAACAGTGCACTCCTATCAGCAGGAAACTGAAAAATCTAAACAGCAAATGGATTATTATTTATTAGGGGTGCAACAATACTCGTATCGATATTGAACCGTTTGATACAGTGCTTTCGGTTCGGTACGCATATGTATCGAACAATACAATTTTCTTTATTTATTTTATCAACTTTTCTTCTGACGATGCTGTCTGTGTTGAGCGCTCAGTGGATCTGCGTTTGACTACTCCGCCTAGGCTGCACTGTCGAGTGCAGAGCCACTCAGCGCAGTGCAAGCTAGCAAGACAGAAGCTAAGCTCGTTGCAACATGGTAACTGCCTCAACGCTAGCCGAAATTGAACCTCCCCCACCCTCATTCAGATCTGGCCTTTGGGACTATCTTGGTTTTCATGTGAAGCATGACCCTGATGGTAAGCGCGTCATGGACAAAAGCAAAACAGTATGTCAGATGTGCCACGCAATGCGCAATTGGTGGGAAGTAGTGCGTTAGCGCAGTTAGCTTGTTAACGTGTTGCCGTCCAGCCCCACGCACGGGGCGATCCGCGGTAACTTGTTAACGGAGATTTGCTGCGTTATGGCGTTAACGTCATTTCAACGAGATTAACGCTGACAGCACTAGTGGGAACACAAAGAATATGACTGCACATTTACACCGACATCATCCTAGTGCAAAGACAAGTGGAAGCAGACAAAAACAACAAGCACGCATGTTACAAACTTTACCGAGTCATTTAGACAGCCGTTAGCACATGATTCTCCTTATGGGGACCTGATATGTTTAATATGCTGCTGAGAATATAGCCCAGAAGAAGCATATGGTATAGCTTTTATTTTGGAAAGACCCATTTCTCTGTAATAAACTCTTTTCCAAAGATGAGTGATTTCTTGATCAGATAGATTTCTTTTTTTTTTGTTATTTTGTTGTTTCAGCAACATTAAATTTAAAAACTGTACTTTTGAGTTAAAATATATTTATAATTTTAATAAATGACAAATTGAAAAGGCATGAACATTTTTTTGTATCGAAAAAATATCGAACCGTGACACCAAAGTATCGAACTGAACCGTGATTTTTGTGTATCGTTGCAGTCCGATTATTTATAGAACAATTTTCTGATTTTACTAAGCAAACAAATACTTGTTAATGAAACAGTACTGGAATAGTGAGTTCTATCTAATGATAAGAGTCCAATATGGTCCTGTTACACTATACTGGTCTGACGTATATTGGATCCAATTCCTACTGATGTTCCTACTAATATTAAAGGAAAACATGTAAGTTACAGAAAACTTTGCTTTTGCTGGGTGTTGCTTTATTTCATGCAAGTTAACACTGTTAAGCACCATCTAGCAGCTGTCTCTGTCTGCCTTCCAGACAAACAGCATTATTATTATTCCACCTCACCTCGTATACTTGCTGACAGACACCTGCATTGTTCTTTATTCAAAGCAGGAGGTGTATGTGACTATTGTTGCCATCAGGCTGAAGATATGTTACTTTGCAACGTAAAATGTTGTCTTTGCTCTTTTACTGCTAGGAATCAATGTGCCAGCTGTCCTTTCACCCACTCTTTCTCACCCATCTGCCAGCCAGTGTTTTTTTTTTTAACCGCTCCCTCTCAATCCACTTACACTATGTCACTATTAACCTGCTGCCCATTCTTTCTCACACAGCCACATGTCACTGGAAAGAATCTATTACACTATCGGCTCATTCACAAGAAGATGTGTAAAGAGGCCAGTCAGGGTGATAAAGCCCTCAGAGTGAAGGGAGTGGATTTTGCCTCTGGGAAAAGTCACTATTTAACATGCGGAAGTAAATTTGTGGTCCAGAGTTCAGTGTGCTATTTTATGTTCTATAAGTAACTAGAGTTTTAGCATTTTCTGCTCACCAAGTAGCATACTGAATCACAGTAACATGTCAGAGATTTAATATTTCATGGTATTTCAGTCTCTACAAGGATGAGTAGAAATCTGCCAGAAAGCAGACATAGATATGCTCTTACAGTACTACATATGTTTTTGCATATGCACAGTGATTTAGGTCAATGGGTTATTTTTTGTAGCACAAGCTTAAGTTTCTGAGCCTTTGTGTCTTGATGGTCATCATTTGTATATGTATGACTATTTTCAGGAACCTTTTTAGGAATTTAAAGTGTGAACATGTAGTTTTAAACTGTTTATGTGTTAGTGTTTTATGATTCCTGTGTTCCACACACCCCAAAATCTGGTGAACATATTGGCATCCCAAGGCCCCTGTTTTTAATCAACTTTAATAAAAGAATAACTTTTACGAGATCATGTAGAACCCTGTGGTCTGTTGACATGCTTCTGATGACACTTTATGGAGGTTTTATGTCTTTGTTCTATATTATAACAAAACGAAGCCTTCCTTTCCTACCCTGCAAGGGTAGGCTACCAAAATGTAGAGATGACCAGAGACCCCTCCTTATGATTTGGGTTTAAATAATTTGATTAATTTTTTGGAAATATGTATCAAATGAAGCAAAATTACTTAGCTATCATACCCCATGAAGTATCTATTATCTGTGTGCAGGTTCAAGAAAGTCTCAAAACAATAATGGAAAAGCAATCTGTTTATTCGTGTACATGCACATAAACTGCCACTTTTATTTTTCATTACATTAAGCACAACTTTGAGACTAATGTACTTAAGTATGAAATGTCTTGCCTGCTGCAGTGGTCTAGTGTCACCCTGGCAACCAAGAAAATAAACCTTTCAAAAGAAAAAACTGCAACTGTTGCATTTTTACCCAAACCACGACCTCTTTTCTGAACCTAACCAAGTATCACAAGATCATACCGAGGTTTTTAAATATACAAAACCCAACCATGTAGTTTTATTAAGAGGGTGTAAAAAATCTTTTCAAAAGGGGAAATTCTTCACCCTGTATACCTGGACACCATAGATATTAAACTTGTGTTCAGTTAAATTAAACTATGGGGGTCAAGTTTGGACAACTTTTGTTCAGAAGCACAAATTATTAGATTAAACTGGCTGTTTCATGAATTTGGTGACAAATTTGGACAAATCTGTCACAAAATTAGGCCCCCCCTAGGGAGTTAATCCGACCATGCTTCTCAGAACTAAATTGGAGCCTGTGCAGTTGTTTCAGCCTCTTCTGTATCAGTATATTATTATATTATTCCCACAGGAGCATGTCATCAAATGTATTTAACTAGTCTCTTCGCAGAGTATGGCAGCATGCCCAGATCACTCCACAATGAGAAAACCCGGTCAGTTCCCAGAATAGAAATCCCATTTCAGTGCCAGACTTGAACGAAACTCTCCCCGAGGTCTCCACAGCGAAGAAACCGGGTGTGAGGTCTGTCGAGAAAAAAGGTATGCATGACTACCGCTAGCCTTAACACTTTAATTAGTCGGCATCCGCCTTCTCTGTCGTCGCCCTCCTCCGCGTGCTTTCACCTGTTGGTGCCGACAAACCGCTCGCGCTCATCTGTCATTATTTTTCTTTTTGCTGGGAAGGGACTGAATCAAACCAGGTGAGGATTAAACACCAGAAAAAATGCGATAAAGTGAGCGTCGGTTTAACAGAGACAGCAGCTGGCGAGGTCAAAGTAACGCTGACAGTACCTGAAAGTGAAACAGCGTTCAAAAAAAGTTTACTGAAGTGACTCTTCGCTGTTTTTTTCCCCCCTCTCGTGTTTTCCCTTCTGACTTAGTCCGGCTTTGTCACTATGCTATGACTCGTCAGAGGACCCGCATGTCTTGCTGAAGTTGGACCACGTTTATCAGGTAAGAGCCGTATTTTTGTTTTTGAATCGGTTTTGTTGTTTAG